AATAATAATAATAATCATCATCATCATTTCTTGGGGGTGTTAGGGTGCAGCATAACTGGCCGCAGGTAGCCCATCTCTGATCTATGTTTACAGATAAACACTTGAATGCAAATGTTTTGAAAAGGCAACTGTGTTTCCACAGAGGGATCAAATGGTTAAAGCTGAACACAGGAACCCTCCATCCCCAGAAGGCAGCCCTGTGGTGTTTGTGGACAGATACCTGGAAAAGCACATTACTCCAGTCACTCTGAAGTCTAACATCAGGACAAACCCTCTGTACATGGACATAAGGCCAGTGGACACTGTGGACAAAGACAGATTCAAGCCTTCCTGGACCGTCAAAGAATACGACACACAAACAATCCACGGCAACTTGGCAGAATATCTGAAGGTAAAGTGTGGTGAGTCAGTGGATGATCAACATGTTTTTATTGCTCAGCGCAGCATATTGGACATTTTTACACAGAGTTGTAGTGCTGCTCAGCAGTAATGCAGTTGTCTCGATTAAACAATTACCTGAAGGTGAGCTCAAATGTAGAAAAGCTAAAATATAAACAAGTCCAGAAATGGTGTGTTTGGTATCTTTAGTGTCAGTCAGTACAGAAAACAGTGATCATACATATAGATGATGTCAAGCATAAATAATTTCAGAACCTTTTAGGAAATAATAAAATGACTTTGATCATTTCTAGGACTCCATCAGGGACTAATGTATAACTTATGAGTCTTTAAAAACAGGAATCACAAACAGATCTGATGTTTATGCTACTTTTTTATTACTCAGGGGAAGGAGAAAACTCCAAAAGATCTGGACTTTTGGCTCGAAGACCTTTACACACCAGGATTTGACTCGTTACTGAAGAGAAAAGAAGCAGAGCAGAAGAGGAGAAAACTCTGCAAAACTCTTTCTTTAATCGTTTCTCTTTTTTGTTTAATCCTTATTATTATTATTGTGCCTGTTGTGGTTCTACAAAATAAAAACTGATCTCGACATTGTCACATTATTACAATGTCATCTCTTCTATGTGAAGCAGGCCAAACTTTCATGTAACATGTGTGAACATGTGTTTAACAGACCTGTAACTATGATCAGCAACACTTCCACATATGGTGAAAATTTTGAGCATGTTATAAATCATACACTGGTATGATAATGTGTTGGTAAGTTTATTTTAATTACACCTTACTTCCATCAGTGTTGTTTTTTTCATAAGTCGATGCTGAGCATCTGTGTGCTGCCTCTGTTGCTGTTTGCTCCAACATGCTGACAGAAGATCTGCAACAGTCCAAACGTGTAATAAGCTCGTTCATTTTACAAGTTAGGGACAATTTATTCAAGTTTCATATTTGTTGAAGACATTAGAAACATGATCACGTCCAAATGAAGCTTCTAGCTGATGCTCTTTCTCTTCTGTGTTGGAGAAAATGTGCAGATGTTAAGTTGACCAACACATTGCTCTGTGGTGTGGTTGGTAGAGCAGCAGCTTTGGGACCAGAAAGTCTCAGGTTCAACTCCCAGCCATGCCCATGTGTTGTCGTGTCCTTGAGCAAGACACCCAAACGTTCCATGGCTGCTGCTCCACTTGGGTGTTTCTCACATGTGATGGATCAAATGCAGAGCACCAGTATCATCATTGCATGAGAACATGCCTTGATGACAAACAAAGCACATTTACCATTTTTGCCTTTAACCAAGTCAGCTGTTGACATGTTGAAATAACACAACTGTAAATCAAAAACCTATTTATTTGTTTCCTAACTGTAGACAGGAGTTTTATGGATTTCTGTTAACAATAGCTCACAATGTGTAATTCTTCCATTTGGGACTCATTTGTTGAAAGATTTGTATTTGTCCTGTACAGACTGCAGCTCCTCCAGTTACCACAGACTTCTTGGATTAACATCGTTTTCAGATGGTTTGAACAGTTTCAGTGAAATGTTCAAAGTTTGGAAATTTATTTTATAATCTAATCCTGCTTTAATCGTCTTAACTTTATCTCTGGTCTGGCTGATGTTCTTTGGTCTTCATGTTTTTATCACAAATATTTTATAAAACACCTCTAAAGCCTCCACAGAACCGCTGGATTTATACTGAAATTACAGTAAAAACAGTTGGAGTTGATTTAATAATTAGGTGAGTTTTGAAGTTTCAATTTTTTATTTTATTTTGGAGGGGTGTCATCTTAGTGAAGAGGGCTGAACACATACACAAAACACACATTTTAATGATGTCCTACTTTGTGTTTGTCGGTCATAAAATCACAGTAATAATTTTGTCAAGGAGCTTTTATGAATGGAAATGGAAGAAAAATAATGTTGCTTTTGAGCAGAACTTGCAAGAAAATTTCTTGATAGAAGCAATGAATTCATTGTGTGAAAGTTTCCACACAAGTCCAGACATTTTGAACTGACAGCTTCCTGGACAGGAAGTGAAACATATACAGTTCTTCTTTTTTTTTTTACCTTTTGTCACCACCTAACCTTTTATCTTCATAACAGCTGATGTCTGGAATGTGACAGTATGTGCAATAAGGACAAACAAAAAGAAAAACATGTTTTGGTACATTTTAAATTTAGTTATTTTCAGAAACTTCTCATAGTTTAAAAAGAAAACTAATCATGTTGTTTTCAGGATCATTATTTGATTCAGACGCAGACTTTATCACCCAAACCATAAAAGGTGGACGATAATCTTATCACCTCTGCGGGTTTGTCAGCAAAATATTTCACAAACCAGAGAACAGATTTTTTAAAATCTAAGAATTCACTGGATGTACGATTCAAGACGCGCACCAGCTGACTTTAGGAAACACAAAAATGGTTTTAGTGAGCTATTATTGGATGTAAAAGTGGAATCACACTCAACACGCAGAAGTGCAAGATGCTTGATCAAAGCCATGCTACAATCAACCTTTTCTGTTAGCAAAATATTTCATGAATAGGACAACTTTAGTGAAATTTTCAGGAAGTAATCATTGGGTTTGCATCTGAAGCCGATTCACTTTTAAACTCAACTCCATTCAAGATGGCAGCCATGTCAGTTTTTCAGAATTTGAGCTAAAATTGACAAATTTATTCTTAATATTTGACAAAAAAAAGAAGCTAAAACTCCAAAATAAATTTATGATAAGATGGTTTTAATTTTAAGAGTTGTCTGGCGGCACGCATTTCTTAAAGGAACGTAATCACTAAATATAATTGTTTTTACAGCTGTAGTTCCAACATACTGTAAAAGAAATAAGAATAAAACCACAAACAATCTGAAAACAACAGATTTTATTTGATTGATTTATTGCAATAAAGATATACAAAGTACTGGTACTCATAACTGTTAAAATGTTAGAAAAAAGCATTTCTGTAACTGTTAACAGTGCAGTGTATCAAAACGTCACCGTTTCTCCAGCTGGATTGATTCCGTTCACATTTGTGTGCAAGCAGAAGAAAGCTGCTTTAAACTGCTCGACTTCATGTCTTTCTCTCCAAAAGGCTTAGAAAAGACAGAAATTTAGTGTCAAAAAAAAAAAAAAAAAAAAAAAAAAAAAAARAAAGAAAATCTGCTCAAATTAAAAGGCAACAGAATAACAGAAAAAAACACCAACATGCAAATTAACTTACAGCAAAACCAATAATAATAATAAAAAAATACTAAGAATAAAGCACATCAATTCATGAGCTAAAATAAATATTTCTTCATAATGAAAACTGACATAATTAATCCACTCTCCTACACTACAAAGTTTATTTACATGTTAGTTTATGTTGTGGAAAAGAGCTCAACCTAAGAGCTTGGGACCAGAGTGTGTTTTTTATATTTTATTTTTGTTCACATTTTTTAAGAATGACCATTTATCACTTTGGCTCGACAGATAACAGATTTAAAATGATGGGGAGTGGGGGGGGGGGCATTTGGCAAAAAGAAAAGCAGCATTAATGCCTCAGTTCTGACACGTGTACAGATGATTTCTGATTTGTGGAATGAAATTACTAGAATTAGTTCATAAAAGACAAATGAAGAAGTCAACAAAGACAAACACTACTTGGCTGTAAAATGTCCGTACGAGTATGTTCAGTTTATTCAATGCAACAAAGACAAAGACGTCCTACAAGTCAGATTGATAGATATACAAGTGTATAGAGCTATATATAGTTTTCTTTCATTTACAAATATAGAATAAGTTGTGTTTGTGATGTTCTGTAACAGTAAAGGTTTACAGTGTGACAATGATCAGAGAATCAGGCTTTTACTTGCTTTGGGGCACAAAAGCTCCACATCTTTTCCGTCCTAGCTCCCTTATATTCAAGTGAAGTCTGAAGAGAAGTAGGCAGTACAATAGTTTTAAGCAGTTAATATGCAAATAATCAAACATTTTACAGTCTGCAGAAACAGGTGGGCTTGTTCTGTGAGGAGAGTTTAACGTGTCTGACTGGAGTATCTCACTGGGCTGTTAGAGACCTGCTGAAGAAATCTGCACAGAAAAAGTCAGTTTTACTGAATTTGGAGTCAGAGGCTTGTGAAACTGTATTCTAGGCCGGTGCTTTCCAAACTTTTCACCTTCTGACCCAAAACTATGGCTCGTGGCCCAAACATTACTGGCATCGAATCTTTAACAACCCTATTAGAGCTCATTGACAAGCCAAACAACTTTTACAACAATATTTATTGGTTTACAGTTATTTTTTTTGATAATCATAGGAAAAATATTACATTGCCAATCCTTTTTTTACACCTTTAATCTGATTTTTGGAAATTATCCGAGGACCCTAACTTCATGACCCACATTTGAGTCACAACCCCAACTTTAGGAACCAGTGTTCTAGGCCGTTCCCACAGAGTTGGGACAGAGAATCTACTGCAGGTCCTGAAACACCAAGTATTTAAAATAGATTTAAAAGTGATATTTTATTCTGTATCGTCGCCACATTAGAAACAGAGAACTTTAGTTATAAGTGATTAAAAGCTGTCGTTTGGTTTCACTGACTCTCAGATGTCAGTGTGCTTCAGCCAGCTGCTGTTTACACTGTTAGCTTGGGAGCAACAAAGTTCAGTCTGTGGAAAATATTTTCTATCCACCTCATGTTTATGATTTATTGTACTGGGGTATGCTTTAGAAATAAAGAGAATCATAAACAGACCTGATTTTTATTAAAGATTATTGATCACTGATGCAGTTTTTAGGCCTGGACATGTTTTCAGTCAAAGTAAAACTCGTGTTCGATACAGGTTGGAGAGCCCCACAAGTTTTTTAAGAGAAAACTTGGTGTTTTTAATAAGTTCAAAACTAAAATGGCAAAACGACACGTTTCTGTGGTTTCTGTGAGGAAACCGAGACCCCCAGTAAACTACCAGACGTCTTTGCGAATGCTGTTCTCTTACTTGTTAGCATGAGTCGCAGCCCAGTGAGATACTACCTTTTCCAATCAGATCAATCTGCGTCGTTTCATCACATTGAAAAGGTCCTCACCCCACATGTTCAGCCGTGTGGGGGTGTTAACGGTACATCGGGTCTTCTACACAAACTAGTAGAGCGTTGGGAGGAAATTGTGCTGTAAATTTGTCTGGGACTAACTTGTGCCTTCAAGCTTAAAAAAGAGATCTACTTTCACCCCAGTTTGGTCTACATCCTCTCCGTGTGAATGGTTCAGGTGAGACTCGATGAGGCGGGCACACGTTCCACTGCTCTGTGCTTATTGCAGTCCATGTGGAGAATAAAAACCAAAAAAAAAAAAAAAAAAAGAAACCGTCTTGAACTTGAAGCGTTAGTGTTTTTACGATACAGTACATTCAGCTAACCTCATGAGACATTGTAAAGAAGTTGCATACCGTCATGGACAGATTAGATGGAAGTAAAGTGAAGGCTTACCCTGCTCGTCGCTGGGGGGGAAACAAAACTATTTTTCTAACTCTTTGTTTTGCAGCGGTTTCTCATCTCAAATCATAATGCCCAGAAGCCAAAACAGAGCTTTTATTCTGACAATTAACTGTCAACAATCCAACTTCTGAATACAATATCCTGCAGCGAATCACGTGATCTGAAAACCAAGATAGAGTCGATTATTTTGAGAGTAATGCACTTAAAACTGAGCTTTAGTTCCGGTAAGATTAAAGCCAACCTGAAGGTATTTTGGAGAGTTTTCCTCCCATTTATCCACAGAAGTGTTTCGACAACAATGTGTTTGTTATACACCTTTAATGATTGTATAAGCAACAGGTGTGGATGTGTCTCCAGTTGTGTGCGCTCACTCTGTACACGCCTTTGGAGAGAACGTAACTATACCGCTCCGAACAACACCGCAAGTTCTACTTTCAATCTGGACCTGTTTATGGCTTTTAGTGGAGCCATGACGCCCGAACAAAGGCTGCAGACACGTCTAAGGTTCCCCCTCCAACGCTACTAGAAAAGCTGGACTATACGTCTTCGCAGCTCATTATGCATAGAGGTAAAAATTCCCTCAGCTGAGACACAATCTGAATCTTCATGCATGAGGACTTTACACAAAACCGGGCTTTTTGGGGCCGACACGAGCGCAACACACACGTCACCAGCAGCGCGCAGCGACAACTCCAACAAAACTACGGTGGCAAAGAAAAGGATCGCGCACGTACAGCTGATGTGTGCTGAAACCTGGGACGCGACAAAAGCTCGGCATCTCCGTTTACCAAACCACACGGCCGGCGTGGCTTACGGGAACGGAAAACAATCGTTAGTATCATTAAGGCAGGGTTTTAAATAGCTTCTGAGGAAGGGAAGAACCGTTCATGTGGACAGAAACATTGCTAAAAGGAACACTTAACTTAGTAAATCAGCAGCTACATGAAATAATCGTTCGATCCTGACAAGGCTAATGAAGCATTTACATCATTACAACAACTTTCTACAATCTACATACAATCTCTTCCAGGCACTGAGCCTAAAAAGGTAAATTGTGTAACTGAGGCTATTTAAAAGATTCAACAGCTCTATAAAGGAAGACCAAAAGTGAATAAACAAAAACAAAGCTATTACCCGAAATAAACCCGCAGATTACAGAAACATATCAAGAAATGACTACGTGTTCATGCAACCAAAGTGGACACCCTTCGTTAAACTCCTGCCATCCACTCCCACATTATCCAACTAAAATGGAGCCAACAAGAAAAGCTCTTTAAAAGGAATCCACCAATATAATAGGTAATAATATCAATCTAGTTCGAGATTATAATTATTTCATCGGATCCAACTAGAAGGCACATCCGTAAGGCTTTAGAAGGTGTTGCAAAGCGTTCTGCAAGGTTCCCTACAATGGTTAAAAAAAATTAAAAATAAAAAAAATAAACAAGGTGATTATTGCTTCAACAAACATGACGACTGGTCTGAAGAACTGAACGTTTTCATGTCAGAACAACAGAGTTAATTGTTTACGCCTGCTTCAGAGCCTGAGACACATCAGTTTGAACAAAAATGACCATTTTATTTAAGAAAACTAGAAAAACTTGAGCTACTAAAAGAAAAACCTTGTGGATTTAAAAAAAAAAGAAGAAGGGAGCTGAGTGGACAATCGTACAGTCAGCTCCCACCCTAACCCTGACATTCCTCCAACACATGTAGAGCTTCTTCATTTCAACCACTCTCACTTCCTTCGTATGTACTGACAGCACACCAGTGGCTGGTTTCTACTGTCTCTGGAGTGTGTGTGGTGCACCTTTTAATTTGGATAGGAACTGGGATTGGTGAGGGGCTCTGCGTCCAGAGGCAGCGGTGGGTGTGAGACTCAAAAAACATGGGGCTCCGTCCCTGTGCTGAGAGCTTAGGAGTAGAAGGTGAGGACGCTCTGGTGGTTGCCGCGCACCAGGATGATGGGGGGCAGGTCCTTGGACAACACCTCCAGCCAGGCCATGTAGAGAGCGCTGGACACGGCACCCTTCCTGGCTAACGGCAGGCTCCTGGAGGAAGAAACAGAAAGAAACAAAAACTTTTACAGAGAGCTTGCAAAATCTGTTAAAAGGTAAAGTGAAAAAAAAAATAGGTAAAGTGAGGTAAAGTTCTCCTTTTTTAATTTAATTGGTGCATTTTAAGTGTTTTTATTAGTGGTTCATATAATTCTTTTATTTCTAATTATGTCAGTTTTGGTCCTCCGTACTGCAGAAGCCTGATAATCATCTATTCATTCATACCAGGTGTGTTGGAGCAGAGAAACAAGTAAAACATGCAGGGCTGCGGCCCTCCAGGACCAGGACTGCCCATGCCTGGTTTAGGCCCTAGTCTCTGACAGTCCATTGGTCCATTCTACATTTATTAATCATAGTTAAGCAAAGATTATGTAAAGTTTGTTTATCATAAGGCCATCATTGTTTCACAGCTTACTTATTAAGATCCAATACATTAAACAGGAGAGCTGTTAGCATACAGTCCCAACTCCTAGTGCTGGGCGGTATACCGTTTTGTACCGAATACTGGTTTTTATTTTTTTAATATGAATTTTTTGAATACCGGACATTCCGGTTTAAATAGCGGAACGTTTCGTCGCGGCCGCCAGTGAACTGTTGTTTCCCGGGGGACATTTTTCCTTGCTGCACCGCTATGTGCGTTAGCATGCTAATGTTTGGAGCAGCTAGTTGCAGCCGCGGGTGGCAATTCCGCTGCTTATTTTGACTGACGTTTAAAAAAACATCCTGTTTTCACCGTCGCTGAATGTAGTAAACACCTCTTCAGTGACGTGCACAGTTAGATTTAACGCGGTTAGTTAATATGGAGACGTTATGCTGATGGAGACTTAACGTGGTTCTATTGTGAAAAGCCTGCAGGAAGTAGTTCGTAGTGGAGTTGGAATTGACTGGTGTGCAAGGTGAGTCGTGCTGATCAGCTTTAATAAATAACATAAAACAATAAACCCGATCATAATMTTTTCTTAACCCTCCTCCTTCACGACTGGACCAAAATGCATGACTACTGTCTCCAACCACCAGTCAGAGAAGAACAGACACAGAGGAGGGAAACAGAGACACAGACAGAGGTACAGTAAAAGAAAAAACTCAATAAGCAGGGTTTGTACATTTTATTATCAGCTGTGCTGTGATGAAAAGAAAAATACTGTCAAATACAGTGAAACAGGTGAAAATGTTGAAAATACTGTGATATAAAATTTTGATCATATCGCCCAGCTCCACCAACTCCTGCTGAAGAATCCACACAAACACTTGTAGAAACTGCTGTCTGATCACAACTTTGTGGGTTTTCTTCCCCCACACAGCAATAGTGAAATATGACACACAGTAACTTACATGACGATGAGGTTGGCTGTGCTTGAATGCTCCTGCAGCAGCTCGTTCAGTCTGATCTGGCGACTGGTCTGAAAAACATACAAGTTCAAACGTTCAGGTTTCAGCTTCCTACATATTTATCAAATAAAACCATCTAGTCTCTCCCTCGATGTCTTCGTGCTGCAAAGTCTGAAGAGAGATAAAGATCCCACAGATCTTTGCTGTGTCCTAATGTCAGTGCTTTCATGTCCACATTAGGACACACAGAGAAATAAAGTAACAGTTCATGAGTAGAAAGCAGAGCTCAGACCTTGGCACGATACAGCTCCAGCTCGTTGTCTGTGATCCTCCACGGTTCGCTGTTTTTCAGCCGCTCAGCTGCCTCTAGCTCCAAGTTGTCTTCCTTCAGCCGATATGGCTCAACCATCTCCTCAAAGGCCGCCACGCTGTGTAATAACAATGTTTTAAACATCAACAACATGAAACATGAGAGGCTTCAACTGTGTCGCTTCAAAAAAAACTATTATAATAAATGTAGACAGTGATCAAATGTCAGAGAGCTTCCCACAGGTGTTGGCTACAGCAGAGGTAGATCAAAGTGTCACTTCCTAAACCCGCCACACAAGGGCAGCACTAATTATTTATTCCTTTGCAAAAACACACTTCTCTGATAGTGTTCTAAGACAGCGGTTCTTTACCTTTTTGACCTCGGGGCCCAATTTGTTGAACATAACACAAGTCCCAGTCAGACATTACTAATGTACTGATCAAAATGATACTTATTCTAAATATTGGTTTAATTTTTATTGTATTTACATCATAACTAAACTATCATAACTAACATAACTAAATTAAATACACTTACAGTTTAAAAGTAAAACTCCTGTCAAATAATCACAAGACATGATTATAACAAATATTTTTATATTGTAACCTGCTCATAACAATTTGAACAAATACAATGGTCAGTCAACAGACCACTCAAGCTTATCAACATATACAG